CCACCCACAAGAGGAACCATGGACCCAAGCCGGCAAGCAGGGTCCAGGGTCAGAGCTGGATGGTAATGACTTATCTTCAAAGAAGAAAAATTATTTTCCTGGACACGACATGAATGTTGACTCAGCCTAATTGTGTTTCAGGGAGGTCATAGTAAACCAGCTGTGTTATTAAGACTCTGAGGTACTGGGAGGAATTTGTTTAGATTATACCCTCAGGTCAGAAGTGCTCACACAGCTAATGGCCAAGCATTTTCCTTTGAGTTGTAGGAGCTGAGACAGTGGGAGCCAGGTTGCAGCCACATTCCTGGGTTGGCCCCAAGCCTGTGAACACAGTCCAGTTCTGAATATGGCTAGTGGGAACAGAACTACGTTCACCAGACAACAGCTGAACAGAGGGCAGGCAGTGGGCCCAACACAGGCCTGACACAGGGTAAACTTGGGCCTTGCATCTCCCCACTTTTGTGAGAAGTCATTTGACCTTTATCTGTTCTCAGTTTCCTCACCAGATTCCCGTCAGGGTGAGGGTGAGAGTGGATTCTCAGGGTGAGGGTGGATTCTCAGGGTGAGGGTAGATTCTCAGACCGTCTAAGCTGCCCATAGTTACAAGGGACTGGCTTTGGAGGAAAGGAAGTGTTCCCCTGACACTGACAGCCACAAGGGGCGGCTTCAAGGTGGTGTGGTAGAGGAGACTCCTCATGATCTCTTCATGATTTGCGTGATGCTAAATGAACCTAATTTCCTTCTGGGTCAGAGATCACTTGAGCTGGCTGCCAGCCGGTTATTCAGCCTCTGCTGCAACAGTTCAGTGCTCAAAGTCTGCCTCCCCCAGACCCCCAAGACTTGGGAAGAAAACAGTGCCCACCTCGCAACTGTACCCAGTTCCTTCCCCATCCTCAGTCTCTTCACCTGTGGGCTGCATGTCCAGCACCCAGAGGTGCCCACTGTTGACTGAAAAGGCCTTGGAAATGAGTCACATACTGTCACACCCTGGAAGAAGCTACTTCACTTTTCCAGGCCTCTGTTCCTTATCTTTAAAATAGGGACAGCTGGGCTCGGTGGCTCAGCCTGTAATCCGCCTTGGGAGGCTGAGGTGAGTGGATTGCCTGAGCCTGAGGGTTCAAGACCCACCTGGGCAACTTGGCAAGACCTCATCTCTACAACAATCAAAAACTAGCCGGGCGTGGTAGCGCGTGCCTGTAATTCCAGCTACTTGGAAGGCTGAGGCAGAAGGATCGCCGGAGCTCAGCAGGTCAAGGCTGAGGTGGCCAGGAGCAGCCACTGCACTCCAGTCTGGGCGACAGAGTGAGACTCCAACTCAAAAACAGACAAACAAACAAACAATAAAATAGGGACAATATTAAGGATTATATGAGATGTCATAAAAGATCGTACCCTGTGCTTGGCCCATGGTCCAAAATAGCAAATGATAGTTGTCTCTACTCCCCCTGGATATGAATAGCACATACTTCTCATCCACCTACCCAAAAGTCACAGCTATTTAGTGGCCAAAAATTTGGACACTTCAGGTCATGAGAGAGGTTACTGTGCCAGGGCAAGTGGCCAGCTCTCTTTACTGCCCCCACCTCCTGTCAAGGCTCTCCTAGGAGGCCCCTAGGCACTCGCAATGCAGAGGATGTGACGCCAAGCCCAGCAGAAGGCATGCAGCAGGTGCTCAATAGATACCTAGAGAATGGCTGGAGCATGCCAGGTCAAGGCGTGTCGAGCCTGAGAGGTTTTCTCAGTGGCAAGTCCCACCCTTGCCACCCACCCCCAGGAGCTATTCACATAAAGCCACACTGCTGGGACCACTTTGTGGTGCTGCTGCCTTTTCTGGAGTCACTATGTGACAACCACTTCTGTGGCTGTTCACTGACAGAAAAAGTCAGATTCAAACACCACTTCACAGATGAAGGCCTGAGGTCTGAGGAGGCTGGGTGGCTTTTGCAAGCCAGTGATAGTACCAGCATCAAAGCCCAAGCAGGAACCCTGATTCCCAGTGCTCTTCCTTCTCCAGGTCCAGGTAGAAAAAGCCGCTCACCACACTACATGCAGAAACACCACCGTGGGTTGCCAGGACCAGGGCTCCCTATCAGACGTTGGTGGGTGGGGGCATCTCCCAGAGCGTGGTTATATGTCTCCACCATCAGACTGGAGGCTCCCCTGGAACATGGTCTGTGACCTCTCCATCAGACTGGAGACTCCCACAGGTTAGGGCCTGGGAGTCTACTTAACAGACACCTACTGTACACCAACCACTGTGAATCCAGGGTTGAACAAGGCAGGGCCTGTGCTCTAGAAAGACTCAGAGTCTGAAGCTGACTCCTTTCCTTGCCCCCACCCCCAACCTCACCCAGTGTGGGGGATGAACAGTGGAGAGGGAGGTCAGTGCAGGGTCGAGCAGGGCCTGGGAACTCTGTGGGCTGCCACAACTGGGACAGTTCCTTGTCCTCTCCAAATCCCAGAGGGATGCTCAGTGTCCAAGAGAAGGAAACCCTCCCCTGCTGCAGGCCACACCCCATGGGGGGGGCCTAAAGAGCTGATCCTCAGCCGAGCTTCAGGAAAACATGCCCTCCTTGGGTGATCCCTCTCCCCAGTGCCTGGCTGCTGAAGATGGAAACTGGGTGTGTGCACAAGCCCCCACCCACTCATGCCAGGGTCGGACTTGGGAAAAATCAAATGACAGCAAACAGCCAAGAGAGGCTTGTACTAACCCTCTACTGCTCTCAGGAGAGGCCAGACAATGGCTCCTTCTGGTGTGTCTGTCAAGTACTAGGTGCTGGAACTGACCATTTGGGAGGGAACTGCAGTTCCAAGACTCTGTAGCACTCCTAGTCCCCTGGGAGTCAGCCCCTTCTCTTACTGGAGCCCAGAAGAAGGCAGCTGCTTTCCTGCCCTGAGGCAAGGTAGGTGCAGGTGAGGAGGCAGCTGGGCCAGACCTGCTATCCAGTCCCACATCCTCACCCATAACCAAGGGAAATCCCCGCTCACTTCTAAGCCTTTCCTCATCTGGGAACAGTCAGATAGCCTTTCTCTGCCGCTAAGACTGCCAACAAGGACACAGTCAAGACCCAGCACCAGGAGCACCCTCCCCCAGATTCCCAAGGGAAGGGAGTCATGCCTGCTGCCTGGACATGCCAGGCTCTTTCAGCTGATGTCTGGGCTCAGGAAAGGAGAAAAGCTGGCAGAGAGCCTGAGAGGGTATTCATGAAGACTCCTGCCCAATCCCCCCAACCCCAGCCCTGTCTCCCCCTCCTCTTCCTGTCTGGTCCCTAGGGCAGAGCATCAGAGATATTTCTGGCAGCCTCCTCCAGGCCTCTGGCTTCCCAGGCTCACACAAGTGGTCCCCACATCCCAGTCCTGCTTTGGTGGCATGAACTGGGTGAGAGTTCCCAAGCAGGGGAGGTACATTTATGTTGGGTCTGCAGATTCATACGTGAGGGTCTATGTGTGTGTGCGTCCCAAGAGGTAGAGAGCACCCTGCCTTCTGTCTACCTCCTGCTTGGTCACTACAAGCCACTCATCCTCCCACAGAAGACCTGCAGGTAAGGACATGGCAGCTGAACATATTCTGAATGGTAGATACCATCCTCCACACATCCGGACTCGGTTTCTTCCCTGTAGGATAGGTGGCAGGAGAAGATAATCATTAAACTCCCTTCCACCTGACATTTTGGGACCCAGAGTCTTAGCTGGTCACATAGGAAAGTTCTGTGCAGTGGGAAAAGTATCATGGGGTGGGCAGCAGGAGGTCTGGCACCGTCTGCCACAAGCGACAAGACCCTGGGTGATTCCCTTTTCCTCTCTGCCCCAGGCCCTCTGCTGTACATGAAAGGGTTGAAGATTCCTTCCAACTGTGACCTCCCCATACAAGTTAACTGCCCAGCACATGCAGCACAGAGAGGCAGTGAGCACAGTGGTGGGCGCATCCTCCCGAGTTAGGCTAGCTGCATCCCAGTCCCAGACCCGCCACTCCCTTGTCCTGTGACTAAACCTCTTGGTGCCTCAGTCTCCCCATCTATGAGATGAAGCCATGAATAACACCTAATTCATAGCATTGCTACAAGCAATAAATGGATAATCTCTACTAAGTGGGGGGAATAGTAGTACCTACCCCTAGGACTGCTGCAAGGATTACAAGAGTTAATATAGTGCTTATAAGACGCCCCAACACATAATGTAATTTAAGTACCAGCCATTATTATTCCAAGAAGCCCTTCTTTCCATCTATGGGCATCTGATGACCTCAGTAGCCCACCCTCCTCTTTCCAAGGTCTGGAGCCACACAGCAACAGAGCAGTCGGCCAGTGGGGTACAGACATCAGTTTCCCACTCCCATCCCAAGTCAGGGAATACTTCCACATATGAGAGCTTGTTGGATGCTCAACGGCAACACAGTTACCACCCTTCCCATTTCACAAAGAAGGAAACTGAGGCTCAAAAAGAGAATATGCGGGTGCAGTGGCTCATGCCTATAATACCAATACTTTGAGAGGCGAGAGGACTGTTTGAATCCAAGAGTTTGAGACCAGCCTGGGCAACAGAGTGAGACTTCGTCTCTACAAGAAATGAAAAATAAGAATTAGCTGGGAATAGTGCAAATGAAAATCCTAGTCCTGGGTCCCTGGTCTTTGCTCCATCTCTGCCTCTCCCTCCCTCCAACCTGCCTGTCCTCCCACCTTTAGGGGTGGTTTGGGCATCCATCCTGTTCTTACTTCTTCCCAGCTGAAGGACCTTGGATAAGTCATGGAAGGCCTCTGAGCCTCATTTGGAACACGTCACAGATACCGTCCCAATAACGCAAAATAGGTGTTGTGATTGGTCCCATTCTGAACATGAGGAAACTGAGTCAGGGAGTTGGGGTACCTGCACAGGACACATAGCAGGGGTGATGCCGACGAAACGGTGAGCAGCCCTCGCAGTGCCCAGCATGCACCAGGTGCTCCGCCTGTGGTCACTATCATCACTCCAGATGCCCTCGGGCCGATAGCCACACAGCCTGCGAAGCCCTACCAGCCTGCGGCCACCAGCCACCATATCACATGAGTCTGCTATCTTTAGCCAGGGGGTATTTATAGCCCCGGGGCCGTTCTCTCGCAAAGGGGAAGCCCTGTGGGCGGCGGCCAGTGAGTGCGGGCGCACGGGGGTCATGCGGCGGGGCACCGCGGCTCGGGTGCGGGTGTGGGTGGACGGACAGCTGTTCGAGGCGGAGCGCGGGCTGCTGGAGGAACACTGTGGCTTCTTCCGCGGCCTGTTCCGCTCGGGCATGCGCGAGGCGCGCGCGGCGGAGGTGCAGTTGGGCGCGCTCACAGCGGATGGCTTTGGCGCGGCGCTGCGGGTGCTGCGGGGCGAGCGCCCGGCGCTGGCGGGCGCCGATGAGCTGCTGCAGGCGGTGGAGTGCGCGGCCTTCCTACAGGCGCCGGCGCTTGCGCGCTTCCTGGAGCACAGCCTGGAGGCGGACAACTGTGCGCTGCTGTGCGACGCAGCGCTCGCATTCGGCCTGCGCGACCTGTTCCTCAGCGCGGCGCTCCTGATCCGCGACGGCGGGCGCGGGCTGGCAGCGGGGCTGTCGCTGCCCGAGGCGCGCGCGCACGTAGAGGCGCTGCAGCCCAGCAGCCTGGTGGCAGTGAGCGCGCTCACGCCGGCGCCCGGCTTCCCCGAGCACGCGGCGCGCACGCTGTGCTACCTGGACGAGGACGCGGGCGCGTGGCGCGTGCTGGCGGCGCTGCCCCCCGAGGCCAGCACGCTGCTGGCGGGCGTGGCCACGCTGGGCAACAAGCTGTACGTCGTGGGCGGTGTGCGCGGCGCCAACAAGGAGGTGGTGGAGCCCGGCTTCTGCTACGACCCCGACCGTGGCGCGTGGCGTCAGCTCCCCGGCCCGCACCAGCCGCGCTACGACCCGGCCCTGG